AATGTCTGTACAGAACAAAAACTTATAAAGAATTTATTAGGAGTGAACACGTTGGCAGGACCTGTTTGAAGCAGATTTTGAGACATGTAATTCACTGTCACCCTTGACCCTGGTCTCCCCGCACCCCTTTGGGTGCATCATAATTCATATTCTCCAAGATACACATCCATAGCCAAGTCATCAATTACGTTCTCCACTTAGAGATTTGTGCCCCGACACCTTTCTGTTGGCAGCTGTAAAATGGGCATAGGAATGTTTTATGAGTTGACACTTGCCATCAAATTCTCAATGACTCTGGGCAGCTCACAACAAAGAAAAATTACAATAAAAGGAATAAAAAAATAAAGATACAACAATACTCCCATCTGTTTACACACTGACAAGTATCGTGAGAATAGAATAATTCACACTAGATACCCAGGACTGTCATTCTTGGCCAGCCTAGCCTACCTTACAAGGCCGTCGTAAGGTTAAAAAACCCTTGCTCTGTACGTGACCTTGGCAGTGTCTAAATTCGATACATAAATTAAGAAAATAAATAACAAAACCAAATGGATTAAAAGCCCATTTCCGCCCACTTTTGGCCCCCGTCAGAGCAAAAGATTACAGAAAAAATCCCAACTCTGCTATTTAGATTCGTGGCCCTTCTAAACAGATTCTACTACATGTCCCATTGTCCTGTATCAGGAAGATTGGGCTTGATGGGAGTTATAGTCCAAACCAACTGGAAAGACCCTGATTTGGGAAAATAGAAAGAAACAGCCTTTCTGTTTCCCTTTGCAATGTCATTTCATTAATTTAGCAGAGATGGAAGCATCAATGGCGGCAGTGAAATCACTAAATATTTTATTTGTGGCCAGTTTTTTTTTTTTAGTTTACTCCTACAATGAATTTGCTTTATTTTGAAGGTTGATATGGCCTCATTGGCTCTTTCCCAGGTCTTTCACCGAGCAATACCTCAGAAAAGCTTCGGCCAAGGCCATCTTTAAATAAGTTTTATCTTCCAGTGATTGGCAGGGATCAAAGGGAATATAATTAGGCAGTATAGGTTGCCTAGCAACCCTGGGAGTATAATCTGACCTCTCATCGTAACAATCCCACATACCATCACCTGCTGAACTATATTTGAACTAAGAATAGCAGGCTGATATCATCTCACTAACCAGTAATATTCCAGTAACGGGGCACACTTTTTTTTGGAGTTTTTAGCCATTTTATTTTCAGTGTTTGATCTCAAAGGGCCCTTTGCCTGGCCAATTAATCACACACCAAGAGTGAGATAAAATCAATTTAATTATGCAGAATGTGTCTCTTGGGTTTATTCCTATAGCAAGGAACAAGCAAAACTTGCTACCATGTTTCTCATATAATAAGACCGGGTCTTTTTTTTTTTTTTTTGAGCCCCGAAAAAATGGCTAGGCCGTCTTTTTGGGGGTGACCTAATCCCCCCCCCCCTTGCACCTTTGGGTGGGCAGGTGGCGACAGCCTGGATGTTGACCTCGGCATTGGGGGGGCACTTTGTATCGGGGTCAACGCAGGCAGCACCATATCCACTCTTATCTCTTATCTATCATTATTTGTCATTTTATCACATCTTTATCTTATCTATCATCTTTATATATCCACCCATCCATCCATCTTCTATCTCGGAATTCTGGTGGACAATCACTTAAATAGATCTGTTTTAACAGATTAACAGAGTTGGAAGGGATCTTGTAGGTCATCTAGTCCAAC